TCCCTCTCAAAGCCTCTTCTCTTCTATCTATCTCTCCTCTCTCGCTCTCTCTCTCTCTCTCTCTCTCTCTCTCACCAACTCTCTTTATGTCTCTTTATTATTATCCTTTTTTCTTTTCTTTTCTATCTTTCTTTAAAGACTTCTTTCTTTTGTCTTTCTCGACGATTTAAAAAACAAATTCTACGTTTATCAGGTAAAATCCTTTTTTCTTTTTCTGTATTCGAAATTTGTTGTTGTTGTTGTCTTATCTCTCGTCTATCATATATTATTATTATTATTATACACTTCGTCACTTTCACAAAATGAATTATTCGTAGCACTTATGGATCATTATAGATATTCTTTCGAATATATTCAAGATAAAATATATATTATAGAATATAAATTTTTTTTTTCTTTAACACAATATCACACGATGAAATAAATAGGTGAAATGTTTTTCGATAATAAAGACGAGCAAGCAGCAGCAACAACAGTAGCATCAGCAGTAGCAGCAGCAGCAGCAGCAGCAGCAGCAGCGGCAGCATCGAACGCGTGAAAACACTCCATAAACGCGATATTGTTTAAGGGGTTGGTAGTTGTAGTAATAGTATTCTCGATTAAGTCGTAGTTCGTTTAATGACCGATGATGATAACGCGTCGCGAATCATAAACGGTTCATTTCGTTCACTGTTTATAAGAAACACCAAGAGTTTCTATTCTATTGTTTTTCTTCATTTATTTTGTAGAATTGTTTAACACACACACACACGGATCTTAGATTAGTGTTTTTTTGTTAATTTCCTTCTCCTCTCTATCAATAATTCTTCACGAAAGAGAAAACGAAGGTTATAAGAAGAATAGTTCTCTCGCAATTTCTCTCCCTTTCTCTCTCTCTCTCTCTCTCTCTTTTTGTAGCTTTAACATGGGTAAGGTAATAAAAAAATGATTGGATTAATAGTTGGTACACCTCGAATGGATCACGTCCCTTTCGTTTCTCCGACTATTCTAAAAGGTTTCACCAAGATAATCGGGAAAATGACGCKCGGAGAGAGAGAGAAAGAGATGATAACGGGGGATGACACAGTGATACATATTTAATATACTTATATATAAGTATATTATTTATTATACTTATATATAAGTATATAAGAGGAACGTATGGATAATAAGTATTATTATTTGTTGGATGTATTATTATAAGAGAATTTCCGGAGAGGATGATACTTCCCTCCCCCAAAAACTCAAAAATTCTTCTTATCCTTCTACCCTTATTTCACCTTTTTTTCTTCTCCACACCTTCAGATTATTATCTTCGATAACAACAATATATATATATATATATATATATCTCTTCAAAAGCTCGGTCTTATTCTACGACGAATTCCCAATTCGTTCGCCGGCTGATCATTTGCTTGGCCGGCATCGGTAGGATGAACATTAAATCGACGACACTGGACATTTTCAGGATAACCGAGCCTTCGTCGTCCACCACCTCTTCTTCTCGGTTTCTTCCTCGTATTATATTCCTTTTGATACGTTGTCCTGGTGTTTCTTGTCGACGTCCACGTCGACGTATCTGTCCTGTTGTTCGTCTTTGTCGTCGTCGTCTTTGTCGTCGTCGTCTTTGTCGTCGTCGTCTTCGTCGTCGTCGTCGTCGTCGTCCTCGTCCACGTCGTTGTCGTCGTTGTCGTCGTAGTCGTTGTCGTTTTCCTCGACAACGAGCTTTTTTTCTTTTCCTCTTTCGTTACCTTCCTTTCTCGTGCTTTCTATCTTTCTATTTCTTTCTATTTCTTTCTCTTTCTTTCTCTTTCTTTTTCCCTCTCTCTCTCTCTCTCTCTCCCTCACACACACACTCTCTCTCTCTCTCTTCTCTCACGGGGACACTCGGTCAGCACCCGCGCTACGCCGCTACGCGCTCGGGAGTGGCGGCTCTCGCGTCTAGCCCGGCCGTATCATCGCGCAAGCGCCCCTAGTACTTTCTTTCCTGCCTACCTTCCTTCCCTTCCCTTCCCTTCCCCTTCTTGTTTGCCTCCCTACCTGGCTGCCTGCCTGCTTGCTTGCTTGCCACCCACCTGTCTCCCACCTGCTTGCCTGCTTGCTTTCCTGTCACCCTGCAACCCTGATGCTGATACTATTGCTGCTATTACTGCTGCTGCTACTGCTGCTGCTGCTTTTTCCTCTCTCTCTTTCTCTTTCTCTTTATTAGTCGAAACCTATTCCAAGTCCTGTTCTCTACTACGCCCATAAACTACACCTTCAAAACCGCAAGCTCTAACTATATAGCATGATTGTGTCTATTCTTCTTTAGTTTCCTTCTTAAACTCTTATCTTTTACTATTTTATGATAGATTCTATATTATAGTATTAAGATATAATAACCTTATTATATCATAAATAATATTTAATGTTCTGTTTCTTTTTTTATTAACAATCCCAAAAAAGTAATAAGATTCTATTAATTTGGACGATGAATTTAAGTCTGATTTACTCCGTCCGACCGATCGTCGATATTACTACTTAAATAGAAATATATACGTTTTAATGGGTACAGGGTGAAAAATAAAGGAAATTTTGATCGATGTCTTTTTTATTATATTTGTTAACTCGTTAAGATGATGGAATTGTTGTTTGCTATGACGTTGGTTAATACTTTACTTGAAAATTGCATATAATAATGCGGATAGGCTTAGTACGAGGACAGAGTGGTATGAGCTTTCTAGTCGTGCGACTTTGAATCGAAGCTTGGCAAGAGGACTGACATGAGAGAGAAAAGGACAGACAAACAGGAAGAGGAGAGAGGAAAGAGAAAGAGAGAGAGAGAGAGAGAGAGAGAGAGAGAGAGAGCGAATAACGGGGTAAACTTTGAATATGCTGTATGAATAAAGCGCATGCGTTCTCGACCTCGTGCTGAGAGAAACCAAAAGGGGAAGCGGACAATACGCGTACTTACGTAGATAGCTCGACATGCGTGAAGAACCAGCGCGAACGAACGAACCAACGAATGAACGAACGAATATACTGTGTGCCAATGCGAAAATGGAAATGCGAAATGTTTTACCCTTAAAAAGGTCCTTACCGACAATATCGATAAAAGGGGTTTATGTCAAGCATTTCACATTTCAATATCAATTTAATTACGTTCTCTCTTTATAAATTATTTATTCGAATCGATTTTATCGAGTTATAGGTTCTTTTATTTGTTCTTCTTTTTTCTTTTTTGCATTTCATTTTCGAATCGATATTTAATGTATCATCGAGAGTATTAATTTCTTCTTAATTATTATTATATATATATATAAAATATTGCAAAACGAATTGAATATCATTATATACTTTAAATATTTACTCAATGAAAAATTTGTTATCAACAAATATGTTTGCGTTATAAATGCTGATTTTATTTTAAATTATTATTGTCAAAGTTATGGAAACAAAAAGTAATATCTAATCGATTGGGGAATCGTTAATAGCATTCTTGTTTAATAAGGAATCTTCGAAAGTTTAATATATGAACTTAGTTGATAGAACACTTAACACAATCATAATCTCGTCGAATGGTTTGTCTTTCTTATTCGAATATTTGGGATAGTATTATCGAATTAATCGAGCGAAATGTTTCGTTAGTATGTGCATTGGTACGGTTGAATAATATTAAGGTAATAGACAAAGATGAATTTTCAGTCTGACATTAATTACTACTTACTACTTAACGTGTACTATTTAAACGGGGTTTTAAATTTAAACATATAGATACATAGAAATATCTCGTAATATTTATTAAAACATTTAGAATAAATTTTGATCACTTATTTGAATGCATTCGTTCGATTATTTTATTGGTTCTATTAACTCATATTAACTTAAGACTTAAAATCTTTTTTTTTTCAAAGAATTTTAATGTTTATAAGATTCGATATTAAATTTTGTTAATAGTTTAAGAAAAATATGCAAATATAATAGCATCGATTATGAAACGATCGATCTCACCTCTCCACCACCACCACCACCACCACCTTTTTACAGCCATTTTTCCCTGTCTCGGTGCGACTCGTTTCATTATTTATGGAAAGCTTAATCTCGTATTATGATTAACCATCTCTCATCGATCAATCGCTTTCTCTTTCCCTTTCCCTTCTTCTACCCCTTCCCCATCTAAAAATGAACTTTCAACTAATAAGATATTCACGTGTTGATAATAAAACCTTTTCGTGCGATTAAAAGCATCTGTCAATGTATAATACGAATATTTTCTAACAATGTATCAAAAGATAATTCACGTTAAATGGAGTTGAGAATTAAACGTCGGCAGGTATTTGCAGGTGGACGAAAAAAAAATAGAAAGGGAAAAAGGAAAGAAAAAAATCAAACTACGCCACTAATTAACGAGTGATTTAAACCGTCGATCAAACATTCTCTGTTAGCAAAATTGTCGTCGGGACTACATTTTACTTTCTCTGTCTCTCTCTCTCTCTTTCTCTTTTTATTTTCTACCTGTGTTCTTTTTCAGATAATAGTTCGCATCCACAAAGCATCTCTCTCTCTCTCTCTCTCTCTCTCTCTCTCTCTTTCATTCTCTTTATATCTTTCTCTCTTTTTCACTTACTCTTACTATTTCTACTTTACTCTTTAAATTCTTTTTTTTTATTTGTTTGTTTGTTTGTTTTTTTATTTTATTTTATTTTATTTTTCAAATATAAAAGCGACGAGGCAAGTTTAGTACTCCACTTTGCAGGGAAGCTTAAACGATCGTTGACCTTTTGGCTCGTCCATATCGGTTGGCCAGTGATTGTTACGCGTTCTCGCGTTTTTTTTTCCTATTTTTTATTTTTTATTTTATTTTACCTTGTGATCTCAAATATCCTAACAGAAGAGAAGAAGAGCCGTGTGAAACCGATCGATCGATTTCTAACCCAAATCGATAATCTTT